GGTGGGAGGCCAGCCAAGGCAATACCTGACGCCAAGACTTGGGAGAGTGGTTGGATGCTGCAGGAAAGAGATGGTTCTTGGTCTCAGTGTCTGCTTGTGTTTGGAAATGTCTGCATCTTTTACAGTTTCACTACGTCGGCCAGACTCAGACATTCTGATCAACACTCCTGTCTCTGCTAGTTCTGGTCGCTTCAGGGCTCCCAGGGGACTCTGTCTTCTTGTCTTCCAATGGACAGTTCATGGTCCCAGTTGTTAATCTATAATACCACTCTTGACAAGAGAATTAATAAATAATTTCTATATCATTATACTCTGTAAAGAATATCAAATACCAGGTAAAATTTCCTTTAATAATTTTTTATCACCTGTGCTTCATCCTCACATAATTCTTTCCACTATTCTGCCACATTGTTGCATCTACATTTTAAAAGGTACTATGCAATTCCCATTTTTCAGGTAAAGAAACTAGAACTTAGAGAAAATGGGTAAGACAGCAGCACTGGGTTTTGAATCCAGACTGTCTGATTTTAGAACCTTGTATCCTAACTACAAGAAAATGTATTTATTTTGTCTTGTTTGCCTATTCCAGAAGCTTCCAAATTGGAAAATTTTGGAAACTATCGTACTATAGCATTCACTGCCCTTCTTCCCTAAGCAATAATCGTTTCTCTGTCACTGTGTGTAAGCCAATGTGAAGCTCATTTTCCTAATTTGTAAAGTGGGATAAGAATACAGATCCTACAGGGTTACTTTGAGTCAGAAGTTAAAAGTAAGTGAAATTACTTTTGGAACTGTGAGTACAGATAGTACTATGCACCCATAAATAGTGCAATACCAGATCTTTCTGCACTCAAACATCACCCATGTTGATTTGTAAAGAAGAAACAATGATTTCACCCTGCTCAATCACTGCTAGGCTTGATGGGATGGTAGATAAAAAGAAAAAAATTAAGTATAGGAAATGTGCACTTCCTCGTTATGGTTATTAATTTATTTTTTTCTTTCTGTGAAGACTCTTCAATTGTGAGTCAGATCATAAATCATTGCTTCATTTTTGGGTTTTGGTGAGGTCGGAACAGATGACTTGAGAGTCTGTTTACAACGTGTTTTCCCTTTACCTGGCTCTGTTGGACTTCAAAAGGCTATTTCTCTGTGCAGGGTAGAATATGGAGCTAGAACACTGAGATATTCCAGCTTATTTTTGGCATCAAGCCTCTCATTAGAAAAACTGGAAATTATTAAGAGGTTCTAGTACTTTTTAAAAGCATATGAAATCCAAGTTTTTCAATACTGAATCTAGGGACAACAATATATTTGGAGACTTATTAGGTCCCAACATACATCTTTTAGTTTACCTTTTTTAGTCCCAAATAAATTGAACTTAAAATGTAATTATTGTAATTATATTACATAAGAGTATGAGCCGTGCTGCCTTGGATCAAGTGAGGTTTCAGCATTGGACACCTTCCAAGAGACTCTGAGTGAGGCACGTTTAACATGTTCTGCGGATGCATCTCACAGGTTGATCTGGCATACAGAGGTGCTTCAAAAAGGTAGCTGGGCCATGGTGCTGGGTAGCCAACATAACCAAAATGTGGGCCTTCAGCACTGAGTCCAAGTGGCCTCACTCAAGCCTCAGCTTTCAACCCCTTGTTTTCACCAAGTTTCACACATATCAACTCACTCTCAAAACTTATTTCAGCAGGCATGACTGACCTCTTTGGGACTTAGCATCTCAACAGTGTATTCCATTCCCCCTCTGTGATTTCTGTCATCCTTCAGGCTTGAGTGATTTCTTCTCATTACAAAATCTACTATAGGCAACAGCCCTCACTCCTTCATGGATATCTCTCTGCTGGATGACCAGGGTTTTAAGCAGATAACCCATACTGACTTAGGGAGCCTGCAATTCTAAAATCAGCTGCATGATTCACTCATGTGCTTTGACTTAGATGCAGGAGACTTTTTTCTCCAAGGGGAAGAGCTTTAGGGAGAGCGGGAAGCCTACCTCCTCCAAGGGCCAGCTGAGTGACATTGGTAATTTACTTGACATTTCTGGGACATGATTACTGAATCTGCAAAATAATATTCATTACACCCATTATCAAAGGTTGCGTAAAGATTAAATTAGCTTGCTCATACTAAGTGACAGCTCTAACAGATGATTAACAAATTTCAACACGTCTTCCTCCTTTGTAGAATATTTTGTATCACTCCTTTGGCATTTTCATGCAATGTATCGTAGTTAATTATTGGGGTTGTAAATCCTTTGAAAAAATAATCAGGTTTCACATTTTTAATATACTCTTGAATATATTCCAACCTATTTCTCATACATTATAAATACTAGATGATTTCCAAAAAGACAGTTAAAGGAAATTACTGTTCTCTTTTTCTGTGGTCAGTGGAAATGTGCTTTACCAGTGTCTCCTTTATATCCCAGTTATAACTCTTCATCATGTGGCTGCAGATTCACTAGTTTTCCAATTTATCCAGTTCACCTGGTGCTGCTTGGCCTGTGCGTTCTTACTTGTGCCCACAGCCAAGTCTGATGGGCGTGGGAGAAACAGCTGGAGGGAGGCTGTGTTCTGGGGTGGTGTTCTTGGGAGCAGGAGAATCCTGTGGATTCTCTGCATCGTGCTACATGAATTAGCGTTTTGCTCCTCAGGTACCTAGATAAAGACTGGCCTTGGTTTTGGAGCAGATTTCCTGAGTGTTCCCTGCTGCGGTAATATTTAGCCTCAGTAATCTCCAGAATAGTGCACGGAGCGAGGCCCCATGCACGGGAGCCCTGAAGACACCTGACACCTGTGTGAAGGGGCTCTCTCCTCAGCAGCATCAGTCAAGGCCACCGGGAGACCAGCAGGCCTCCTCTTGTTCCATAAGACCCCTGTACTCACTTGAACAGATTCCTCCTCAGGAGCGGGAGTCTGTGTTTCAAAGTGCAAGCCACGTGACTGTAACACAGACCACGCCCCACTGCATCACTGCATTAATGGTTTGTCTCATGCCATGTGACACAGGGAAGGGTGCAGGTATTAGGGTCAGCTCTATAGCGTTCTGCTTTCACTCTGAAGACTGTGATTTTCCTCCTCTTTAACTCCTCATCTCCTAAAATGGGGCCAATCACAGTCTGTCTGATCTTCCTTCACCTCATCCACAAGCTAGAGTCCCCTCTTTCATGTGACTTCCATTGCATTGTAAGTGTTGTTTACATATCTTTCTCCCTAAGAAGGCCCTGTGCTCCTCTATGGTACACATAGTCCTCATTCCCCTCATGGTCCCCAGGACCAGGCCAGCTTCAGGCCTACAGCATGCAGTCAGTGTGCTGGCCCCATGTCTTTTTCCTTTCCTTGCTTCTACTCACCAAGGGAAAAACACAGCCTTTGCACCATTATTAAAGGTTGATTTTCCAGAATCTTGTCACCACAGCTGGGAACAAGAAGAAGCTGAGTTTATTTTTACCATAGGAAGGAAGACCCACTGGTATAGTTTGATATTTGTCCCCACCCAAATCTCATGTTGAATTATAATCCCCAGTATTGGAGGTGGGGCCTGGTTGGAAGTATTTGGCTCATTGGGATGGACCCCTCATGGTCTGGTGCTGTCCTCAGATAGTGAGTGAGTTCCCAAGAGATCTGATTGCTGTTAAGTGTGGTGCCTCCCCTGTGAGGGATGCCTGGTTCTACTTTGCCTTCCACCATCAGTATAAGCTCTTCAAGGCCTCCTCAGAAGCTGAAAAGATTCCATGCTTCCTATACAGCCTGCAGAACCATAAGCCACCTTAACCTGTTATTTATAAATTACCCAGTCTCAGATATTTATTTAGAGCAATGCAAGAATGGCCTAACACGCCCACTTTAACAGAGTCTTATTGCATCTCAGACGGAGAGGGCAAAGTCAGGATATTTATTAAGCCTTTAAAGTCTGGTCACATTTTTGTTGGTGTCTCCTGTTCCTTCTGCAGAGATGTCCTTCTCTACTGGATCCTCACCCTTCTCTGTGGAGTGTGCGGTACAACCCCCGCCCACCATGTTACCCCATTTGTTTATGTTTGGGTTGAAAATAGGATTGAGAAATATGTGTTCTTCTCATAGTTCAATTAAGAAGTCTTCCTCCAGTCGTAAACTCCTGGCGGAGGGCTCCTGCCTCACCCCTGCCAGGGGTAAAAACCCACAAAGATGCAGATTTCAACTTGGGATGGTCAAGGAAGAGTCAGTTCTAAAACATCTTTTCCCAAAAAAATGGTTCTGATTGGTTTGGCCAGCCCTATCTCCCTAACGAGATTTGATTCTTATCTTTGAGACAGATGCATTCAGCAGTCAAGGAGGTAAAATACGACAGTCCTGCCTTCAAAGATGCAATATCCCTTCATGTGATGAATTCATACTATCTAGGCAGCCCTTATGCCACTTTTAAACTTCTGTCTTGGATTGAAATTGCAGTAAAGGCACATGTCAATTAGAGAAACTATGACTCAGAATACTGAGGACCCCATCACATTCACTTATTTAGTCATTCAAAAGACATTTGATGAATGTCAATAATGTGCCAGGAGCTATTCTTGGGTGTAGAAATGCAGAAAGAACAAGGAGAGTCATTGTACATTATTTTAAACATGGAAATGTGTATACTTTTCAGATGACAGCGAAAGCGCTGGCAAAAGAAAAAACAGGCTTAAGTGTGGGCGGTGCTGAGGCTGAGGTGGTGGCTGTATTTTCAGGTGGTTAGAGGTGTTCTTGTCTCTACATTGACATTTGAGCAGCCATCTGACAGGAGAACTAAACGTGATTCAGGAGAAGATACAAGTGAGGGCAAAGACCATGGAGCAGAGGGCTCTTGAGGGGAGGCTGGTACACTGACAGCAGAGAGGGGGTCTGGATGAGATGGGGTTGCAGAGGAAATTAGATTGTGCAGGGGGGTCTTTAGGCAAGTTGGGCTCCGAATGCTAAGAATGCAAGGTAAGTAGGAGATCATAAGTTCCTTTCCATCTCTGAAATTCTGACATGCTTTATTTTTATTCACTCCTGACCATACAAAAATCAATACAGTTAAATTAAATACACCAGCACCTTTGGGATCATCCACGTGGATATTAGCTTTCCAGGTTCAGTACTAAGCGTGGAAAACAAAAGCTTTATTTAATAGAGAAGATGTCAGGCAGGCATACATTTTCCATGCAGATTCACAAAGACTGTCATCAATTTAGTTGTAAAACCACAACACTGCAACACAGTTCTATTCACTTTTTCCACGGAAACCATACAAAATTGTATACAAGTAGTTCTAGTCTAAATGAATGCTCTTTGTAATAAACTCCACTTTGGGAATTTAGGAAGAATCAAGCAATATTTACAAGAAAAAGATAAGAAGAGGACGGGTTACTGGTTTAATTTAAATCTTCTTAGAATGGCTTTGTTTTTCACTTGGATTAACAATGTGGTTTAGACCTTTCGGGAACCATTTCTTTAAAATTGGGAAGGATGGGATTCCAGAAAACCACAGATGCTAACAGTAAATCACCTTGACCTTGACCTAACCAGGAAAAAAGCAAAACAAAATCTTATATCGAAAAGGAACTTTGGCAAGCTTCAACATTTCTAGCTTTGAAAGTGTCTAGATACTCACTGAGCTAGCTAGGTCCTGGTGTGAATGAGAGGTTTCTCCACAGGCCAAGTGTGAACACATTGCTTTCCTGTCCTTTCTCTTGGAGAATTCTTGGAGGATCCTCTATTAAGACTGATGTGTGTGTGTGTGTGTGTGTGTGTGTGTGTGTGTGTGTGTGTGTGAGATAGAATCTCACTCTCTTGCCCAAACTGCAGGACGGTGGTGAAATCTCAGCTCACTGCAACCTCTGCCTCCCAGGTTCAAGTAATTCTCCTCCGTCAGACTCCCAAGCAGCCAGGATTACAGGTGCCCGCCACTAAACCCCATTAATTTTTGTATTTTTGGCAGAGATGGGGTTTCACCATGTTGACCAGGGTGATCTCAAACTCCTGACCTCAAGAGATCTTCCTGCCTTGGCCTCCCAAAGTGCTGGGATTACAGGCATGAGCCACTGCGCCCAACCAAGACTGACTCTTAGTGTGGTCTTCCCTGGGAGTCAGGATGGAGTTGTAAAAACAGCAGATATAGCATAGATCCTGACCTGGCCCTGCGCAGATGAGCTCCATCACCTTTAGCATGTCTGTAAGCACTGACCCTCCAGAGAATCACAGGAAGTGCATGTACCACCACAAGCACACACACATTGGTTCCACTCACCTCCATGTGTAGTTCACAGCACATACTCTACAAGTGCCAGTTTTCAAAAAACTTTGCAAGCCAGGCAATTTTTACCCTCACTAGTGTCCAGAGGGTAAGAGGAGAGGGAGGCTCATGTGCGCTGATACATATGCCTGGGGGAGTGACACTTGCTATATATTTTGTGCTGAGTCCGGTGCGCCTCCTCACTATCACTGCTTTCTTGATAAACTGAGTGGTAGACATCCTTAAATGACACCACAAAGTAGTGAGAGTTAAGGCTGAGACGACACCTCCAAATCAGGTACACCTTATCCTCGATCTCATTCTGTGATGGCAGAAGGAGAGCATCACCTTTGTAGCCACAGGATTTTAGTTACGGAGGTGACTGAGTGACTGAAAGATTTATTGCTTATATTTTCCCAGGAGGAGTGGCACATCACACCACACAGGACGGTGCAGGAAGCTCAGGGAGGTCAGGAGACAGAAGACAGGAGCAAGAGGAAGGCCCCAACCAGAACCTGTATTGAGGCTTCTATGGGGAAATAAAGGCAGGGACAGGTACACAGCCTAGGGTGGTCTCTCATTGCCTGGTACCTGGCCCTGGAATGATTTAGGATAAGGGCAATGTTGGCTTGCTGTGCGAATTAGGGAAGAAAGTAGGGGCTCAGCCTTGAATCAGCAGATCTGCATGTGAGAATTGAGTCCCAGGCAGTGAAATAAAAGGAGAGAGGTTGACACTTTGGCTGAGAGTTAGGCCTTTTGATGGATGGTGGTAAATACACATGTAGAATCCAAGAAAACACAGAACAGAGAGGGACCGCCTTGGGGGAGACGATGTTTCCATTTTGGAACTTTTCGGTTTGGAGCTGTAGGTATCTGGTGGCCACGCAGAGGGTGGTCGACAGGGGTTTGGATGCGTCTGTCTGCATGTGAGAGCCAGGTCCCATTTGAAAACTCGATGGGAAAGGAGTCTGCATGCAGCATTACCCCTGGATGGGAGGGATCCAGAACCCATGGGCAGGAGAAGCTGCCGCTCCTTCCGGACTCGGCCACATGGGCCTTCTCTTCGTGTCCTTTGCCTTTACTGCAGCTCTGCTGTGAAATGCTGGGAAGTTGGAAAAGTCTCTGCTGATGTGTATTGTCCTTGTTCAGCATAAATCCAGTCAGAAAATGTCTGTTAAAACTAAATGGAGAACACTGAGGAAACTTGGGAAAATGTGCTGGAATAAAGAGAACAGCCTTCAAAATGTCTGTTTCTCACTTAGAACAAACTGGGCACATGCTATTTTGGTCTAACTTTCAAGACAGAATTACTAGTATTGCCACTGAGGAAATTCAAATGGGCGGAAACTGAAGGGAAGGCCAAGGTGGTCTGGTACGGCAGCCAGGGCAGTTGAGTCTGCTTACACCACACTCCTCTGGCAGCCAGAGGTGCTGTGGGAGCAGCGCTCCTCTGCCTTAGCCACCGCTGGGCACAATCTGCCTCCTTCTTACTCTGTTGCTGTCTCTGGACACAAGGCTGATTCTCTCTCCTGTCTGTAGATTATGTTTCTCAAAGTTGTTGATGGCCAGTTACATGATGTTTCATATCATGCTTGCCAAACCATGCTTCCCACTGAAAAGACATAACAGAAAAAGCTGTGAGCTCCACCCTCATTTTCCAATGTCTTATAAATTTTCTACTTTCCCTTAGAAATAGTTGTGAGTGACAGCCTGTCCCATACTCTCCCTTGCAAGCTGTTAAATCCCACATACATTTTATTTACTATTTGATCTTCTGCCTCATATATGCAGCAATTATTTTTCTGTATCTGATGACTCACTAGGAAATTCACTGAAAATGTATCACCACTCTTCATTTAAGACCATACACTCTGTCAACCCCTGCTTACAGCCCATTCTTTTCTTTTACTCAAGAGAATAAATGTAAGGTATTTCATTATATTCTTCGTAAAGGCACAGTTTTTCCTGTAGATTATTCATTTTATTCATCAGGTTTTGACTTTCTAAAACCACTTTCAACTTTAACAAGATAATTTCTTAACATATCACCACCAGTTTTATACTATCTCTCAGCTAAGCATGCAATCATCCTCTGCTTACTGACTTTAGGTGCTATTTTTACCAGTAAAAATTATTCTAAACAGCCCTCAGTAAAGACACTGAGATTATGGGTTTGAGGAATGCCAACATCAACAGAATCAGGTGTTAGAACTACCTGATAAGGGTTTTAAAACAGCTATCAACATTCTATGACAGTCTATTAGAAGCAAATGTAGTAAAAGAGAGAGAGAATTTCTGCAAGGAAATAGAATCACAAAAAAGAACAGGATCAAATTATAAAACTGAAAAATACAATACCAGAAAAAATTGCTGATGGATTCAATGGCAAAATGCAAAAGAAAAAGATAAAATAAGTGAAACTGAGTACAGAAAATTAGAATTCACCCAATCTGAACAATAGAAAGAAATAGACAAAAAAAAAAAATGATACAGAATGGAATAATTAATGGATGGAGACTTGACAAATTTTGCAAAAGATACACACTTAAAAATTCAAGACACTGAACAAACCCCCATGAATGGTTTATAAAGCATATCATAATTAAAGTTCTAAAACAAGTAACAAAAATTAAAAGAAGCCAGAGATGATTGACATGTTACCTACAAGGGAACACCAATTAAAATGACATCGGATTTCTCATTAGAACTAAGGGAAAGAGAAGGACATAACACAATACCCTTTAAAGTCTGAAAGAAAAGAGCTGTCAACTGTGTTCCTATACCCAATGAAAGCATTTTTTCCAGAATGAAAGAAAAATAAAAACAGTCTCAGATATGGAGAAACTAAGGGAATCTGTCATTAACAGACTTAAAGAATGCCTAAAGGATGTTCTTGCATCAGAAAAAAAAAAAAAAGATAAAAGAGGGAAACTAGAAGCAGCAGGAAGGAACATGAAACAATGGAAAGAGCAAAATATAGGTACCGTCACATGCTGTATAATGACGTTTTGCCAGTGACAAACTGCCTGTGCGACGGTGGTCCAAGATTACAGTGGAGCTGAAAAATTCCCATTGCTTAGTGACGTCGTAGCTCTTGTAACACTGTAGCACAATTACTTTATTTTTTATTAAATGCAGTACAGCTTCAGTGTACAGTGTTTGGAAAGTCTACGGTAGCGTGCACTAATGTCTGAGGTTTCCACATTTGCTTACCGCTCCCTGACTGACTCACCCAGAGTAATTTCCACCCTGCAAATGCCATTCAGGGTAAGGGCCTTCTACAAGCATACCATTTTTTATCATTTATATAGTATTTTTTTCTGTACCTTGTCAGTGTTTGGATATGTTTAGATCCATAAATACTTGCCATTGTGTTATAATTGCCAGCAGAATTCAGTATAGTAACATGCTATACAGGTGTGTAACTAGGAGCTAAAGGCTTGACCATATAGCCTAGGTGTGTAGTAGGCTGTACCATCTAGGCTCGTGTAAGAGCACCCTGTGATGTTCACACAACAGTGAAATTGCCTAATAATGCATTTCTTAGAATGTGTTGTCATTGACACATGACTATACATACAATTATCCTTTTTATTATAAAGTTTATTAACTGTATTTAATTATTTAAGCAAAAGTTATAATACCATTTGATACTCAAGAAAGAAATACCAGAAGAATTTTTTTTTTTTTTAGACAGAGTTTCGCTCTTGTTACCCAGGCTGGAGTGCAATGGCATGATCTCGGCTCACCACAACCTCCGCCTCCTGGGTTCGGGTAATTCTCCTGCCTCAGCCTCCTGAGTAGCTGGGATTACAGGCACACGCCACCATGCCCAGCTACTTTTTGTATTTTTAGTAGAGACGGGTTTTCACCATGTTGACCAGGATGGTCTCGATCTGTTGACCTCGTGATCCACCCGCCTCAGCCTCCCAAAGTGCTGGGATTATAGGCATGAGCCACAGTGCCCACCCCAGAAGACTTTTTTTAATGCATGAGGCTGAATAAAAACAAATCTGCAACAGACCAAAATTGTGGGATGGAAGCAAAGCTGTACTGACAGAAAAATGTATACCACCAGATGCTTACATTAGAAATGAGAAAAGTCTTCAATCAATGTCCTACATATCTACCTTGAGGAAGAACAAAATACAAAGTAAGTGAAGAGAAGGAAACAAAAAAGATAAGAGCACAAATTAATACAAATTTAAACAGAAAAACAATAAAGAAAAATCAATGAAACAAAGCTGGTTCTATAATAAGATTAATAAAATTGATAAACCTCTAGCAAGACTGAGAAATTTTTTAAAAAGATAAATTACTGATTCCAGGAATGAAAGAGGGGTTATTACCAGATACTCTGCACATATTGAAAAGGTAATAAAGAAATAGTATGAAGCTGACTATGATACTTCAGGTGTACTTGGGCATACAAAATAGCAAAACTCACATAGGAGATTTAGGTAAACCGAATATGTCTGCATCTATTAAAATTAGTTCAACCATTGTGGAAGACAGTGTGGCAATTCCTCAAGGCCTTAGAAATAGAAATTTCATTTGACCCAGCAATCCCATTACTGGGTATATATCCAAAGGACTATAAATCGTTCTACTATAAGGACATATGCACAAGAATGTTCATTGCAGCACTGTTTACATTAGCAAAGACCTGGAACCAACCCAAATGCCCATCGATGATAGACTGGACTGGGAAAATGTGGCACACATACACCATGGAATATTATGCAGCAATCAGAAATTATGAGTTCGTGTCGTTTGTAGGGACATGGATGAATCTGGAGAACATCATTCTCTGCAAACTGACACAAGAACAGAAAATGAAATACCACATATTCTCACTCATAGGCGGGTGATGAAAAATGAGAACACATGGACACAGGGAAGGGAGTACTACACACTGGGGTCTATTGGGGGGAATAGGGGAGGGATGGGGTGGAGCTGGGGAGGGATAGCCTGGGGAGAAATTCCAGATGTGGGTGAAGGGGAGGAAGGCAGCAAAACACACTGCCATGTGTGTACCTATGCAACTGTCTTGCATGTTCTGCACATGTACCCCAAAACCTAAAATGCAATAAAAAAAATTAAATCAATAATTGATCTGTAGTTTAAAAAACACAGCAGTTCCAGATGGTTTCACAAGTGAATCTTTCAAATATTTAGTTAAAAATAACATGACTTGTACACAATTTCTTCCAAAATGTAGACATAAACACTTTTTAACTATTTTGTAAGGTCAACATCTTTTTACCAACACAAGATAGTGACACTAAAATAACAAAACTACACACCAAATCTCTCATGAACATAGATGCGAAGGGCAGTCATCACCAGTGTCTGGGAAATCCCAGTTCCTAGCTCTCAAGCTTTTGTCTGGAGTGCAAGCTCCTTACCTCCAAGGCCAATATCTACTTGTGGGGTACTTCTCACTCATCTTCCTTCCCATAAAATCCTATAAAGCCTTCCACCAGGTTCTGGGTTTTCTCTCTGGATCTACAACAGCACTAGCATTGCTCTTTGGTATCCAATAAGCTATTGAAAAAAACAACAATATACCTGTTCAGAGTTTTTTGTTGTTGTTGTCGTTTGTTTTTTCTGTCAGGTTATACTCCCTTAAGTTGATAATCATTGTATGGACAAAACCAAACTGAAATAAAACAAAAATTAAAATGTCAGGCCTTCAGTTTTCTGACATTAATTCAAATACTATAAAATACATTGGATCACTTCTCACTGCTCTGAGTCCATTTCCAGGGAATTCCTGCTAAGTTATAGGAGTGTCACCTTAAAACGACCTCCTTAATGGTTTAGTAATTAAACCTTCTTGCACAGAGTCAAGACGGTTTTATATTATTCTAATTTTTTTAGAGAATAACCTTGAGTTCCTAGAGCTGATGTAAAGGACCATTCCCTATGTGTGTCCCAATTATGTTTTTAAAAAACCAAACAGAACTTTAAAGACATCATAGCCTCATACTCTTATTTTACAAATGAGAAGTATAATTCCAGAAAAGTTGAGTGTCTTGAAGTAATTAAGCCAGGGCCCTGTTAATAATTTACAATGCATGTGGTCCCTATCTTTCCCATATCGCTATTGAACCTCCATTAAACTAGGGAGTCACCACCTTCTGTTTTATATAAATATCTGAAAACAAAGTACCTCTCTGTACACTCACATGACATCAAAAAATCATCAAAATGCCATTTTAAGACATCTTTGATATATTGAGTTAGGAAATTTATGGATATATAACATCTTTAGATGAAAATGCCATGTCAATATATAAATTATCCGGTTTTTAGAGACTTGCAAAGGCTGTTGAGGTACACTGCTATTTGCCCTACTACCCTTTTCATTTTAAGGCACTATAGTGTTGGTCAAGCCAAACTGAGTTTTTGTCTATCTCTTCATCCTGAATTGAAACACACTGGACCATGAACATTACTTGCTTGTTTTTGTTTGTTTTAGTTTATTTCTTCTTATAAGAATTGCATAGTCTGTGCCCACCTTTAAAACTCAAGCTAAGCCTGTGTTTTCATGATAAAATTTGTAACTGATTGAAAGGTATTAATGCTGAAATTCATACTGACAAATAA